GGCCTCCCCAAAGGGCACTACATTTTCACGAAAGACATGGGTTCATGTTTAGGATTTAAAGTCAGTTACGAATTTCAGTATTGCACATACACAGGATATAAGGTTTTTTGCCTTTTGAAAAACGTTGTGTTTTTCCCCTTCATCTGAATTGAGGCATATAACCTGGCCTTGTTTTCTTTTCCTTTAAAAGAATCCATCTCTTGCTCAAGTGAAAATTGAAGAAGCAAAGAGAGAATTGGTAAGTAGTTCCATTTTTCCCTTCTGATTTTTTTCTAAAGAAATAAATGCTAATATAGCTACAGCCTGTTTCATCCTTTTCCTTCCTCCTCAGAGGCAAACCACAGTCCCAAAGCTGCTATGTATCATTCCCACACGTTTTAGTACTTTTCTGGCATGTGTGTATGTTTATGTGTGTGTGTGTGTGTTGTTATGTGCCGTCGAGTCGGCCCCAACTCATAGTGACCCCTCCTTGGGTTGCCAAGGCAATATCACTACGGAAGTAGATTGCCCAACCTTCCTTCTGAGCTGTGTGTGTATATATATATATATCTCCCCATACACAGTGATGTTTTATTTCCTTAAAAATTTTACATAAATTTTCCTGGATGGAAAAGGTAAGCTGAGAGTATAGAATATTCTAGGCAAAAGGAATTAACAAAGGCATAAGGGCTGAAAAAATGGAGCACTTTTCCAAGCTAGGGAGCTCTGGTGGCACAGTGGTTAAGACATTCAGCTGCTAACCAAAAGGTTGGCAATTTGAACCCACCATCTACTCCATAAGAGAAAGATGAGGCAGTCTGCTTCCATAGAGATTACAGCCTTGGAAACCCAATGGAGCATTTCCACTCTTTCATATAGGGTTGTTGAATGTGAATCAACTTGATGGCAGTGGGTTTGCGTTTCCAAACTATGGCAAATGATGAGGAATATTGCAAACTAATCAGGGGTGTACAGTGAAGACAGGTTGAAAAGCTCAACTGGTTTATGATATAAAAGGCCTTAAATACTAAAAAGAGTTGAGCTTGTAGACTGTGGGGAACCACTGAAAGTTGCTGTGTGTGGCCTTGTTTTATTTTTGAAACTGAAGAGAAATGTGATCAAAGCTAAACTTTTTGGTCAGGCCAGTGCTTTAGGAAGATTATTCAGGAAGCAGTGTATAGGGTGGATTAGAGAAGAAAGGAAGGAAATTACAGAAATCTACTGCCTTATTTAGGCCAGATGAGAAGTAATGAGAATGGAAAAGAGGTGATGCGAGTGTGGAAGTGTATTGCTTGAGAAATAAAGATCAGAAAAACCTTTTCATGTATCCTTACACTGAGTCATGCCTCTAAAGGATTTTTTTTTTCTTCTTCACATATTTACTAGAATCAGTTAGGAGTCTGAAAAAGTTTTTTTGGGTGGGGCGTGGTGAAGTAGGAGGTGTTAAAGCAAGGTATTGTTAAAAGCATATTTGATATTTGTAGTGGTATATTTTTAAATTTCAGTTTTAATTTTTTGGGCTTCCCTTATTTTAAATAACATTTGAAGGTAGGACACCCATCTTATGTGCTTAGTTATAGTCTCCTTGCTATTCCTTTCTCCTTTTAGGATATCATTGAAGCTGAACTTACACAGAAAGTGGAGATGATGGAGCTGTGACCACAGCCAGAGAAACGTTGTTTTCCCTAACAGAGTACATTGAATAGGACTTCTATGTTTTTCCTCTTGGCATTCCTTAGTAACTTAATTTTTGTTCTTAGATGAGATAATGATGTTATTGATAGAATACTGTTTTTTGCTTGTATTTCTGTGCCTGCATAGTGTTCATATTAAAAGCATTTCTTCTTTTAATATTTGTTCTTGGTTGCTGGTGAATAAGTATCCCTCCGCAGATTTATTAGGTGAACATTATGTCAATTGTCATACATTTGTTCATTGGGTCAGATATAGTGAAAGGGAAGGGTCTGCAATGCCATCTATGGTTCGCCCACTCCCTTCCCTCTCCTAGGTTCTGCTGGTGTCCTTTCTGATCAGCTCATCTGCCTACCTTGTGCCTCCTCTGCTCCCAGTCTCTCTTACACACCCATTCTGAAAATCTAGGTCAGTTATTTTTCTTCCCCCAGGCTCCCTGCCTGTGGTCATTCACTGAAATATGACTATGAAGTCAGGATGTGTTTATCCTTTCAGTGTAGTCACACTGACATACTATACAAAAACCAAACCTGTTACCATCAAGTAGATTCTCAGATACTTTATATACGTTATTTAAATCAAACGTGATAGGTAGCCCCTAAGTTGGCCCACTGTTCCATTCCCCAAGGTTAACAATTGCTATGAGTTTATTTTATAAACTAGTCTTTGTTATCCAAGTATTCATTTTCTGCATTTCTGCAGCTACGAGGTTACATGGAAAGTAAAAGACAGCATAACCCAAAAATGTTTGCTGACAAAATAATTTAAATTGAATCCCCTACAGGTTTACTGGCCCGATGAGCCTGGTGGAACCACTGAGACTATGACCCCTAGCTGCCCTTCAGGTCTGGAATTGAACACACACCTGTAGCTTCCAGCCAAGCAGTAGACAGGAATACTAGTTGAGCATTTATCTGAGGTAGATACACTCCTTGGAGAGAACAAGCAAGAGAGAAAGAAGGGCTGCTCAGGCAACGGGAGACAGCTCAGGGGGTAGGAGTGCATGGAGGGATGGTCACAGGGAAGCAGTACCTTACTATCAGGAGGAAGTGGGAGAGGAGATACTGCATTGTGCTAAATTGTGGTCAATGTCATGAGGCAAAGTGTATGTGATCTGCTGTATGGAAAGTGTATTTGCTCTGTAAATTTTCACCCAAATCACAATAAAAATTAAAATAAAAAAAAAAAGACCAACAGCCCAAGGCTGATTCCTATGAAATGGAGGTCAGCCATGCCTCCACCTTGCAACCTTTTTACCAGTTCTGACACCAACTGTCCCTTCCATGACACTCTACTTCTCTGCTGCGTTTGATAATTTGTTGCAGTGGCCACACAGAACTTACAGACAATACTCCTGATTATGAGGTTTATTAGCGATGTAACAGGTTTAATTCAGAATCAGGAATGCTCAGGATACAGTTCATCCATCAGGACAGCCTCCCCTCAGCCATGCCCAAAGTTAAGTCTGTCTCTGGCCCTCAGGCTGGCTTCTGCCTTGCTTGAGCAAGTGTTACAAAGCTCTTTTAGCTCTGCCAATCAATGCCCAGAGGTACCTCTACCAGTAAGCCTTGTCCTGAAGGTACTCAGCATTCTCGTTTGATGGGCCAGGAAGCTCACTGCTCTGTCTTGTGCTAGTCTCTTGGTTCTGCTGCAACCATTTCTCTGCTGCTGCTTCTCATTGTTTCTTGCAGTCTCCATTGTCACAGCTCTCTTGTCTCCTGGATTAAGAAGGGTCAGCACAGGGATCCTGGGTCCACACTCCACTTCTGGATCTTCTTTCTTGATAATAGTGATAGTCCCCCCTTTCTGCCTCTGGGATGCCTCATTTTAAGCCTAGCAAGATGGCAAAACTGACTGATCCCCACATTAGGGTTACATACACTTTATTTGCATGACTCCAACCCCACAAGGGTGCTATATACCTTGTTTACATTATTAGCAAGCTATCTAATCCCCTTGATGGGCCACAAGCACCTCACATTTGCATAGTCCCACCCAGTCATCTAGTGATAGTCACAAAGTCTGGCAAGAAGGATCATACTGAGCAATTCACTGTACCACAATACCAAAGGGAACCCCCCAGGTGAAGCAGCTGATGTGCTGATGATACAAACCATACTGGAATGGCTTTATAGTGATCAGGATAGTCACCCAATGAGTATGCTTCTTATACAGGTCACAGCAAATATAGTAATCAAGGGAGCCCCTTCTACATAGGCACCCTATGTAACCTTGCTGTTGCAAAACAAAGCAACAGTCTTGAGAAGCCTTGTCAGATCTATTGGCATAGCTTCCCCACATGGCTCTTACAGATGCAAGAAACATAAGGGTGATTCATAGAAAGAGGCAATGGAGAAAGAACTTACCCTAGCAGGATTTTTAAATGGTTACTAAAAACTGGGATGAATATAGCAGACATTGATGGAGTTAAGACAGAGATTCTAATGCTGCACTACAGGAGGTTGAGTAGACCAATGGAAACTCCTCCTAGTCCCTCAATGTTAAAAAGGCCTAGACAAATCCATCCTATGCACCCTGTCAGGAGGAATTTGGTGATGGGAAATCCCACCTGAAACCATCTGAAACAAAGGCTCAGCTAGTCAATCATGATAAGGATTGATGAGGGAGCCAGGGTCCTCTGGTCCAGCCCCCAGCAGGGGACCCAGGGCCATAAGCACCTTCTAGGGGCTCCTGGACAAAGGAACCCAGTGTACTGTAATTGTAAAACCTATCAATAAATCTTTTCTTTTTTGGTCAGCTTAGGTTCAGAACCTTATGACTCTGAGATAGTTGCTCAGCATTTAGTAATCCTGGCAATTGCATTTTTAGTTAAAAACATTTATTAATTTTTTTTCCCCCATCCACATGATTCTTCTTTTTTTTCCCTTCTCTCTCTCTCTCTCTCTCTCTCTCTTAATTGTGATTTGGGTGAAAGTTTACAGAGCAAATTCATCTTCCATACAGCAGTTCACATACACTTTGTCTCATGACATTGACTGCAATTTGCCACCATGCAACAGCTCCACTCCCACTTCCTCCCCATAGTTACCTCTTCCCTGTGTCCTTCCCTCCCGTGCACTCCTGCCCACTGAGCTGTCTCCCTGTGCATACACAGCCCTTCTATTCTCCCATGATTGTTCTGTCCAAGGAGTGTATTTACCTAACATAAATATTCACCTCTTATGCCTGTCTTTTGTTTGGCTGGAAGCTACAGGAGTGGGTTCAGTTCTAGACCTGAAGGGCAGCTCAGCTAGGGGCCATAGCCTCAGGGATTCCACCAGGCTCTATCAGACCAGCAAACCCGGTCCTTTTTTTAAAATGATTTTGAGTTTTGTTCCACATTGTTCTCCCACTCTATCCAGGATCTCTTACTTAGACCTCCCTTCTCTCCCCCACCCCCCACCACCAAGTGGTTGACACTGGTAGCTAGGCACCATCCAGTTCTTCTGGTCTCATGGTCATATAGGCTGGGGATCACATGGTATACCAGTCCCTTGGACTAATTGTTTCCATGTGTCTTTGGTTTTCTTCATTCTTCTTTTCTCTGGACTAGGAGAGACCCATCGTTGCATCTAGATGGTTGCCTGCAAGCTTTTAAGATCCTAGCCACTACTCAGCAAAGTAGGATGTGGAGCAATGTTTTTGTGTAGTATGTTATGCCAACTGAGCTTGATGTCCCCTGGGACCATGGTCCTGAGCCCACAGTCCAACTACTTGCTCCCTCTGGGTAGCTGTCTGTGGCCAAGAAGTGACTAGAACCTTGTCCCTTGTCAGCTCTACTATATACCTGGAAATTCTTACAGAACATACAAATACACTTGTAGAGATACAGTCTGTCAACCGTATATGTGGTCATGGGCACACTCCCCCCAGCCTAGACATACCTAATTGTTCAGCCTGTCCACCCATCTGTCCACCTGTATATCAGTTTGCCATTACTGACAATGTAGTACTATAGGTGCAAAAGCGTTCATCTTTGTTGTCCATACCTCCCATACATCTCTCTGTGTCTTCCTCTTCCTCAACGCCATTGTGTTGCTCACACACATTTAGAACATTGCCTTTCTCTTCACCTAAATCAATACTTGTCTCTACCTATCTAGCAGGGTTCCCTCCCCTCTCCTCCCACCCCTGGTAACCACCTATCAATAAAATCTTAAAGGAGCCTAAAGTTAAACTGCAGGGATATAGGAATGCAATGACTGACAGGACTAAGGTGAATGTTTGCATAAGAAGTGGAAGATTTAAACAGATCTTATGTATAAGGAGCTCTAGTGGCGTAGTGCCTAAGTCATCTGACTGCTAAGCAGAAGACTGGCAGTTCAAACCCACCAGCCACTCCATGGAAGGAAGACTGGGCAGTCTACTTCCATAAAGATCTACTGCCTCAGAAACCCAAGAGGGGTTGCTATTAGTCAAAATCAACTCGATGCCAGTGAGTTTAAGGAACTCTGGTGGTGTAGTGCCTAAGGCATTTGACTGCTAACCAGGAGGTTGGCGGTTCAAACTCACCAACTACTCCATGAAGGGAAGACTGGGCGACCTACTTCTGTAAAGATTTACTGCCTCGGAAACCCAAAAGGGGTCGCTATGAATCAAAATCGACTGATGGCAGTAAATTTGTTTCTTTGTTTTGTTTTTTGTGTGTCTAGTAGTTTTATCTCCTTTACCTTAATGTGTTATTGGTATGGATATTACTGTCTAATTGTAGAACCCTCTTTACCTGATATTTTAAAACTAAAGGTGTGTGAGTCTGCCATTAGGCCAGGATTGATTAACCTCACTGCCAATGAGTCAATTCTGACTCATAGCAACCCCTATAGGGTTTGCAAGGCTATAAATCTTTACAGATGCAGACTGCCTTGTCTTTCTCCATAGGGCAGTTGGTGGGCCTGAACTACCTACCCACCTTTCAGTTAGCAGCTGAATGCCTTAGTCACTGCACCACCAAAGCTCTTTCCAGTATT